TTGACAGGGACGGCGCTCATGGCTGTAATCCTAGCACTCTGGGAGGCGAGGCAGGAGGATCGCTCGAGGTCAGGAGTTCGAGACCAACCTGAGCAAAGAGGCGAGACCACATCTCTACTCAAAATAGAAGGAAATTAGCGGGACAACTAAAAATATATATATAAAAAGTTAGCCAGGCATGGTGGCGCATGCCTGTAGTCCCAGCTACTCGGGAGGCTGAGGCAGAAGGATCGCTTGAGCCCAGGAATTTGAGGTTGCTGTGAGCTAGGTTGACACCACAGCACTCTAGCCTGGGCAACAGAGCAAGATTCTGTCTCTAAAAAAAAGGCCGGCGCTCATGCCCGTAATCCTAGCACTCTGGAGGGCCGGAGGGCTGGTGGATCGCTCAAGGTCAGGAGTTCAAAACCAGTCTGAGCAAGATCGAGACCCTGTCTCTACTATAAACAGAAACAAATTAATTGGCCAACTAAAAACATATACAAAAAAATTAGCCGGGCATGGTGGCGTATGCCTGTAGTCCCAGCTATTCGGGAGGCTGAGGCAGAAGGATCACTTAAGCCCAGGAATTTGAGGTTGATGTGAGCTAAGCAACAGAGTGAGACTATGTCTAAAAAAAAAAAAAGAACATTGTAGAACTTATGTTTCATCTATCAAAGTTATTTTTGCCCCAAATCCATTTCAGAAACACATCTGTTTACATCTGTAAACTCAATACAACACGTTAACCAAAATGATGTGCAAAAAGTCTTGACTGATGTTCCAAATGCAACAGGATCCAGAATGGCAAGATCAAGTGGAGACACCCAAGGTGCTGAGGAGGTAGGTGCAGTAAGTTACCGCACACAAAACAACTGTTTGCGAACAGCCACGGGCATGGCGACAGCCCTCCAGTGATGGCTTCCATTCCACAGGATTGGTTGTTAATCATACACAGGCACCTTCCTGTGTTTCATCATGCTTTCTGTAACTGTTAGAGGTTTTGCATTGCTGTGCAATGGGTTGTATTAATAGTAATTTTTCCCACACAAAATAATGAGACCCAGGGCGTTGTGTTTTCATGCAGAATGTCTGGTTTTCGGGAATGGATTGCTGATGTTAAGCGGGAGATGCTTACGTGTAAAATACTCAGAAGAATGGCTGGCACAGCAAATGCTGGATATGTGTTAGCGGCAGTAGTGTTATGGTTAGTGATTTTGCAAACTGACGCACCAGATACAAACCCAAGGCTACAAAGAGGTGAGGGAGGGAACTTGGCTCTCCCTTGCCTGATTGTCTAGAATTGTTCCCAGCTGCCCACGAGAAGGTGATGGGCTAATTACAAGGTTGTGGGAAATGGTGTGAAATAATTTGATTGTGGGATAATTTTTATAATTTAGAATGATAATTAAAGGGTGGGAACTTTTCTTAATCATCATGGCAGAAAGCCTTAGCCACGGGTCCCCATGTCAGCGGTCTTGTTTTCTACCACTGCCCCAACCACCCTGACCTCAATCAGGGGTCCAGCAAACTCCATTGCACCCCACGTTGTCCAAACCCAAGTAAGCAATGCTGGACAAAAACACAAGCGAGGCTTGTGTTATAAGCCAAGGAACTTAGTCCAAGTTTATTTTGGCCAGAAAAGCACTATTGTGCCATTAATACCAACCAGCTAGCATCGTGCTTCTAAGACTAGTGAGTATCTACCAACACTGTTCAGACCCTGTTTGCTGAACTGGAGGAGGAAAATGCTTCTTCCATAGATTCTGGTGAGACAACAGTGAGGAGAGCCTGGGAGTGTCGGGAATAGGCACTCACACACTGACAGCCGGAATGCACACCAGGACACCGGGCAAGCTCTCCACTGGCAACATGAAACATGCATCCAAAGCCCCAAGATTCTCTCTGGTCTTCATCCCAGACTTGTAGCTGGACAAAATAGTCAAGAATGCATAGAACAACACGGCCACAAGGACAGACTCTCAGATATACCAAAATGGGATAATCCAGCTTATACTCTTTTATAACCTCAGCAACATGATGATAACATCCTTTTATGTCATTATGTAATCTGCGATACAAAATTTTTAGTGCCTTTTCACTGAATAGACCTATCAAAATTGATATAAACAGCCTACTATTGTGGGACATGTTCTGTTCTTTCTTTTAAGACAAAGTCTTGCTCTGTTGCCCAGGCTGGAGTGCAGTGGTACAATCATAGCTCACTGCAGCCTCAAACTTCTGAGCTCAAACGATCCTCCTGCCTCAGCCTCCCGAGTAGCTGGGACTGCAGGCACATGCCACTATGATCAACTAATTATTTTTATTTTTTGTGGAGATGGGGGTCTCACCATGTTGCCCATGATGGTCTTAAACTCCTGGCCTCAAGTGATCCTCCCCTGCCTCAGCATCTCAAAGTTCTGGGATTATAGGCATGAGCCACCACGCCCAGTCTGTTCTATTTTCAACATGAAAAATTCAAAGCAACCAAAGTGTTCAACAAAAGGAGACCGGTTAAAGCCATACAATGAGATGATCCCATTTTCAGGTTGTGCGTGCCCATATGCATGGGCACACATGATGAGACGATGGTTTGCACCAAAATGAACAAGGTGCTTTATTCATAGATGATTTTTTTCCATTTTGGTTATATTTATTGCCAATTTTTCTATAGTAACCATATGCTAGTTAAAATATTTTGATTATTATCTTTAATTTCTTTCCATCACGTTAATAGCCAGGGAAAACGCCCCAGAAGAGCACATGTGTAGGTGGGGTACGGCCATCAGACCAAACAGCAGCATCTGAGGTAAGCCCTGAGGCCGACAGGTAGGTGCTGGGTGCACCTCTAAGACTGGCAGAGCAGCAGTCCCTTGTGACTCCAATCATGCAAATCTGAGGGGCATGGGGGAGGGGTGGAAGGGACTCATCTGTCCTGCCAGTTACATATTCCAGACAACAGCCAGCGGCTCATTTGCATCTAAAGAATGATGAACACACACACACACTCATTAAGGGTGAGCAAGCACATCATTTGATCTGTCTGTTCGCATTTGTGGCAAGAAACAATGGTAGCAAGAACGGGGTCACTGACCCAGACGCTGGTATCTGAGTTCTTGGAAAGCAACCAAGTGGAGGTTTTACCCAGGCCACGATTCCAACTTAACCAGTGCTTCGCTCCTGGAAATGGGGGGCGGGGGTGGAATGCCAAAGTCACACAAACACACCACACCAGGACACGAACTTTCCTTCCCTCTTCAGCTCTACAGTGAGACCAAGTTCATTCTCACTCCACTGAGTCTTTTGCTAAGAGACCTCAGGGATTTATAGAACAAATTCACCATGCCAGGTTGCATTGGCCTTCCCCAGCCTTTTAAGACAGACTCCAGTAACTTCTCCAAGGCCTTCTCCAGTGAGATCTCAAGACACCAGGCAAAGTAGGTGCACTCAGCAATTGCTCCCATCACAAAAACCCGCAGTTCAGCCAAACAATGTGGCCTCACAGGGCCACCTCCCGAGACCACAGGGAGGAACTTAAGAAAGTGGAAGGAGACCTAGTTTCCTAGTGTTGATACACCCTGAACCATGAGACAGGACTCAGCCAGTCAAGAACTTCCTGGAAGGAAGGTAAAGTCACCCAAGACCAAAATGGCCACCTCCCAGGTCACAGGGAGAAACAAAACAAGTAACAGGAGCCCGTTCAGGGCAGGCTGTCCTTCCTGTCATTAGTAATGTCTCGATTCGCACCCATCTTACTGGAAGGGGTTTCTCCAACTGCCATCACAGAAAGCTCAAAACATCTCAAACGATTCCAAGTTTCAATAAGGCTCCAAGATTGGCGGGCACACATTTTCACTCCCTAAATCACCTTTTATTCTTAAGCTAATTTTTTTTTTCTTAAAAAGGGAATCTTGAAATGGCAATCCTAACAAATACATATAGAATGCTTTAAACGAGGTCTTAAAACTTCTATCTCCCATGCGGCAACACCTCACCTGATGTTGGAGAAAGGAACCGGGAAACTTTCCCGGCTTGTATTTGTCATGACGGCAGTCACTGGGACGCCCAAGTTCAACCCCACCCCTTCAGTTCTATTCCTTAATTTACCCTAACTGACCTACCTGCCACACACAAGCGCCCCTGTAGGTGCAAAGGGAACTGAAGACCCAGATCGCTCCCCGTGTAGCTCTACTTAAAAAACAAGAAAACCTGTGCTAATCTCAGGAAATGCCTCATATCAAGTTCTTCCACGAAAAAATCAGGTTATTTACTATGTTCCAAAACTTCCAGGGCGCAAAGGGCACCTCCCTGCTGGCACCGGTCGCTGGGACACTGCGGTCCCTCCCCCAACCGGAACAACACGAAACTCACACATCCCCGGAACACCCCCCTCCCAGCGCGCAAGCCCCCACAAGGAGGCTGGGGAACGGCCAGCCCGCGCGCGGCCCCGGCGGCTTTCTCCTACGCGGCGATTTCATTTTTGAATTCACGTTCCTGAACTTCAGGAGAGGGAAACGGAGGGCGCAGAGGGGGAAAGAAGTGATCTAGTGGGAAAGCGCGACATCAAGTCAGGTTTCTTGCACTTTCCTCCTGGCCGAGGAGGCAGAGGCTGAGCCTGGAGAGGAAAGCGCCCCCCCCACGCTCTGCCGGGTGTCCCCAAGAACCCCAGCAAAGCCCTCTTGGGCACGTCGCCTGGGCTCGGCTTCGGCGCGCTCCTTTTCCCTCCTCGACCAGCACCAGGCTCATCCTCCCAGACCGCGAGGCTCCCGGCTCGGGGACACTCCCACTTGCCGCGGCCTGCGCCCTGGGCGAGGTCGCTTGAATCCACCCGGGCAAGGCCACCGCCCCCGACGCCCGCGCGCGCCAGAGCCGGGCAGTTCCGGAGACCCCGAGTCACCCGAGCATCACGACTGCGCCGCCCCGCACTCCGCACCCTCCACACCCTGCGCCCCTCTGCGCCCGGCGCCGGCCGGCGGGCCACCTCCACGACTCGGCGCCACCCGCGCGCATAGCTCCACACTCACCTGCGCCGCGCGGCAGGCGCTCCACACCCAGCAGCAGGACCCCTAGCAGTGCGACTGCGACCCCGCAGTTCAGGCCGGCCATGGCTCCGGGACGCCTCGGCCTTGGTGGGGAAAGCGACAGTGGCCCGTGGCTCCGAGCAGGGGCCCCGGGCGCCTGGCGGCGGCTGCGCTGCGCTCCGCCCCGGCTCGCTCACCTGCGCGGGCGGACAGGCCCGGGCTCCGCCCTGCGCAGCCGGGACACCGAGGACCCAGCCAGTCCCTCCTCTCGCTCCTCCTCCCCTTCCTGCCTCAGCGACCGCCTCTAGCGCAGGGAGCGGGGTTCCGGGGCCAGGTCTCTAGGTCCCCCCTCCACTCCACAGCCCACTGCGGCGTTGGAGAGGACTTGCCCCCACCTTCCCGGGCTGAGTCCTCCTTCCCTGAGGCTGAGAATGATCAGGTCTCTTTGTCCGAAGACGTGAAGGTCGCCCTTAGGGGAGGCCACTCCACCTTCTCTTCGCTGTGCAGGAGAGGAAGAAGGCCATTGTGCGCCCCATTTTGGAGGGGAATCATATTTGTGGGTCAAGCCCTGGCTTGCTCTCTTCCCTGATTTGGCCCTGAGCCTCCCTGGACTTTAAAGCTACGGCTAATCTTTGCAGGACTGTGAGCCTGCAGCCTACTCCCCGCTCATCGCCAGCAATATTTACAATGCTCACGGCACCCTTACAAGCTACAGACCAAACAGACTTGCTGAGTTACGCAACCTACACAACGTCCCGGGCCAGTTAGTAAATTAGAAGCAGGATGTGCCGGGTGTTGAGCTGTGAATGGAGTAGTACGTGTTCCTTTGTTGAGTTTTAAATGGAGTCGTGTGTGCCCCTTGGTGGGTTGTGGGTGAAGCAGTGTGTGCGGCGTGGGTGTGAGGCATTCCAGTCGAATGCTAGGGTGTAAAATCAGTGCTGTTGGGCTCCATTCCCTCCTCCCAACTGCAAGTATGTCACCTGTCTCTGGCTTCAGACGTTCCATGGGTGCTCCTTCCACCCTGCAGGCCACACACCCAGTCTGGGATCCCAGGGCCACAGGGGGAGGTGGTGGAATGTTTGGAGCTCTCAGCTGGCAGACCAGGATCCTGCCAAAATGACTCCCTGGGGCTACCTGTGCCCATGGACCAGGGTCACCCAGAACAACCTGGGAGGCTTGGGACAGGAGCCAAAGCACTGCCGCAGCATCCGTGTTCAGTCCAGCCCCCACTTCTGTTTAATCCTTGCGGGAACTGAGCCAGGCTGCCCCAGCTCTTTTTGTGAGCAGGGGAGAGGAATCGTGTCTTCACCCCTTCCTTCTCTGTATCCTCAGTGATGAGAATAAAGCAAACTCTGCTTCTGGGAGTCCACGGTCCATCAGGGTCCATCAAATCCGGAGGCGTGACCCACATCCCAAAGTTTGCTTAACTGGCTTCCCTGGGACAGTTGACACCCCAACTTTCTGAAAATGGAATGAGAGTCACTAAGTTTCTAGGGGTGAAGGATGAGCGATGGTCCCGGCAAAGAGAAAAGTCGGGAGGCATTTCAGCATCCTTTGCATGACAACTCAGCTATGTGGTGGAAATAAAGATGTCACGAGTTACTATCTTGATCTTCGGAGTGTTCCGTGAGCAAAGCACAGCCAAGGTATGGAGGTGTTTTGTCTTCACAAACATGGCTGAATGGTTATTTTGGAACTGGAAAGAAATGTAGGCAGCTGTAATCCATTGCCAGAGAAAAATGGCAGCTTGAAAGGTGACTTTTAAGGTAGACTGTCTCATATAATTTTGACCTCTTCTGAAACCCTACAAAGGGTACAATACAGGGATTTTTTTTAAATACATAAGCGCACAAACGTGGGGAGAACAGAGAGATGACAACAGTGAAAGCTAGAAAGTTGGAAGCTAGACAGCAGAGGGACAGGCAGGGACTGCCTTAGAAGACTGTAGACGGCAGAACCCTAAGACAATAGTGGGGAAAATTGAGCAATAACACAATTTACACTATGAATTCCTAAAACAAAAACAAAAGCAACCCTTGGGAATGGCAGTACAGGGGATTCTGGACTAGAAGACGAAGGAGCGATTAAAACAAGGAAGACTGGGAGAAAGCTGCCTGAGAAGCTTTAGTTGATCCTGTAGTTAGATCCTGGAACCCATCCTCTTTTCCCCTGGCTGGGCAACTGCCCCTCACTCATCCCAGCAGGAGTCTGAAGTGTTATTTTCTAGAGAGGTTAAAAACCGACGGATCTGGGCCCAAGGATGCCAGGCATAGCTGATGGCATAGGAAATGTGAAAATAGGTAGATAAAGGGAAGATATGCATTCTGGATGCTGAGGTCTCTAGCTGCCTGGCCCCAAGTTACCTCCTAGAACGCAACAAAGGGGCTTTATTATTTACACTGGAGTTGGAAAGAGTCTTCTGGGGAATCTGACCATCCCAAGAGGAAAAACCTAAAGATAGGGACATTGGAGACTGTCAGTTGGTAAGCCCCACCAACTCTCAGCTTTGTAATCTCTCACTTTTGCCTATGACCAATCAGGATTTCAGGACATCTAAGGAAAGCTGCTAATGTGACAGAGTCAAAGCAGATCAACTAACCAAACTGAAAAAAGCAATCTGAAAGAAAGAGACTATGCAAGGAGAAGAAAACAAACAAACAAAGCAAAACAAAACAATTACTAACTTTCTAAGAAAGATAGCAGACCATATTCTATCTATGAAGCAGGAACAGGATGTTATAAAAAAAAAAAAACATTCAGGGAACCACAAAAGGATTCTTGGAAATTAAAAAAAAAAAGATTATAGATATACAAAAAAATAAACAGAAGGGTTGGAAGAGCTCTCAGAAAGTAAAGCAAAAAGACAAAGGGAGATAAAAAGTAGAAGAGAAAAGTTAAGAAAATTGCAGGTACAGTTCAGAAATCTAATATCTGAATAATGGGTATCCTAGAGAGAGCAGAGAAGACATTATCAGTGATATAATTCAGAAATTCCTAAGGCTGGAATGACATGAGTTTCCAAGATTTAAAGACTCGTGGAGTGTCCTGTACAATGGATAATATATGTTCACATCAAGGCACCTTGTGGTGAAATTTCAGAAACCTGTGAACAAAGAGAAGATTCCATAGCTTCCAGAGCAAGAAATGGGTCTCACACACAACAAAAATCAAATGGTTTTGGATTTTTCAAGAGCAACACTGGAAGCTGGAAAACTATAAAGCAATATCTTCAAAATTATGAAGGAAAATAACTTCCAACTTAGATTTCTATACTTAGTCAAACTACCACTTAAGTGATTAAAGTAGAAAAGGGACATTTTTAGACAGTCAAGATCTCAAGATACCTCTAAAACTTTTAATACCTTTTCTCAAGAAAATACTGGAAGATATGTTCCATTAAAAAAACATGCATGCAGCACAGGGAAAAGTAGATACAGGGTTGGGGGGGGTGCTAAACATAATCACCTTAAGAATAAGAATACAAAGTTACAAATAGAAAATCAGATGTGAAAAGTGATTACTGTATTTAGAATGAGGAAAGAAATCACTAGTTACAAACTTGAAAAAATTGAAAAATATCACAATTGTCACAAAATCCAGAAGAACGACATAATATTTTTACTGTTAACTGCCTGCTAGAGCTCTAAATGATTCATTTCTTCAGGCCATTTTGCAAAATGCATCAGATAAGTGAAGACACAATTGACTTGTTGAGGTGCACAAAACATGTGAATTCACACACAGAAATACTGTCCATAGAACCATTATAGTTCTGTGCCCTACAAATACAGAAATTCTTCCAAATTCTATTTCCATGATTCCTGTTAAATATGAAGATCAAAACAGTATGGAATTCATAATTATATATACTGCATTTCCAATTTATTTCTGACAGAGTAAACTTTTGTTTTTTGATAAGGCATGATGAGAAATGAATATCATGCTCAAAATTTTGTAGTTTTGATAACTGGAAGAATTTTCCACAGACTAGATTCTTCTGGACCTGTACATTTTAAACTTTGTTCCTCCTCCTCTCCTCCTCCTCCTCCTTCTCCTCCTTCTCCTCCTCCACTAAGCACATACTTCTGGTGTCGGACACTGTAGGACAAGGTTCATAATGTAATACCACCTCTGGCCTTTCTGCTCTGGTCAGCTCACCCAGTGAGTCAGCCCAGTGGGTGGGAGGAATATTCCTGGGAGCCATTACTACAATGTAAGAACAAGCAGTGACTTAACCATACACGAATGCGCCTGTGAATTAAGTATTAATGAACATATCCCACCAAACCCCAATTAAATGTACCTCTGATTCAACCTCCCCTTAGCCAGATCTCAAAATGCCCACAGCCACTGAATGCTACATCATATAAGAGGAAGTGTGATGTAGAGGAGGTGGAGGGAGGAGTCTTTTGCAGTTAAAACACAGATCTTTGCAAATTTCACAGAGACCTATGACCAGGGGAGCACGTGTGAGCTTTCTTAGCTTCATGATGCACCTGCCTCTGGCTACAGGGAGCACAGACACAGCCCAAGGGAGAGGCGAGGAACTCCCAGGGTGATGGGCACCGGCCTTAGCCCAGCATCCAGACTGAGTCAAATGGCAAAACATATGGCTGACCACACTGGGGGCCCTGAATTCTATAGCCACTCCTCCCTCCTGAGCGAACAGATGGGTGTGATAAAATCAAATGGATCCACTGGTTTTTAGTGATGAATCCAATCACTAAATTGGAGAAATGCACCCACACACACTGCAGCATGACTGTGCTTTTCCACCGAGCCACATACAGATGGGCAACTGCAGAGAAAGGGCCTGCACCAGCCCTGCACACCCACCTTGATATTTACACTCGAGAGGCATACACTTACATTGAAAGCCTCTAGTGACTTGTAACTGAACCTCACCCTAAGGCAAGCATAGGAGACATTTCTGGTGCCATGGAAAATATCAGGGAGAGCAGACCCAAGTGATTCACTGCAAAAAAAAAGTCACTTGACCTAAATGGGTGAGATGGAATGGCTCAGTGACTATGAATGACATCTGCAGTCAGATGTCCCGGATTCAGATACGGGCCCTGCAACTCACCAGCTTGTGCAATTCCTTTCACCTGCATATGCGTCAGTTTCCTCACCCATGAGCTGGGGCCACGAGAGGGTGTCCTTCGTAGGGTGTTGTAAAAATTAATGAGATGATACAGGTAACACGTTTAGCCCAGTGCTTGGCACAT